TATATATATATATATATATTGTATTGTCTATTCTTCTTCCTACTTTCCTTCCCCTACCTGTCCGCCAATATATATATATATATATATATATATATATATCTCAGCGCAGCGGAATCTCATCACGCAGGGAGGCGTCCAGATGAGGAGAGGTACTGCATTTGTTTGACCTTTGGCGCGACCTTGCGTCGCGCGGCACCCCGAGGCGAGAACCTCTTCTGTCAGACTCTTCACATTGAGGAAAACAGCGCCAGAATCTAATTGTTTCATCCCCTGCGGCGGAGGCGACTACCTCGCCGTCCGGTGACATGCAAAGATGCAGCACGCGTGAGGTGTGCCCCGTGAGATCCGCCACTCGTCGCATCGTTGGATACTTCCAGATTGTTAATCGGTTGTGCGAAAAACCGTGGGAGCTGACGAGCTCGGTTCCAGTTAGATTCCACAACACCCCACAGACTTGACTTTCGGCATTGTGGCAGTTGATGCACTCGCCCGTTGAGGTGTTCCAAAAACGTAGCATCTTGTCCTCCGACCCGCCGCCACTTAGGAGGAGGTTGTGTTGCACCGGATTCCATGCAATCGCCTTAACAGCGGCTGTGTGTTTGTTGAGGCGCAGCACGGGCTGCGGTCTCACGGAGAAGGCGCGACTGTCCCAGAGAAGCAACTGGTTGTCGTTGCCTCCGCTGGCCATGCGAACCCTGTCCGGGGACCATCGCAGCCCGCACACGCTCTCCCGGTGGCAGCGCAGCGTCCATGACCCCATGGGGTCACGCAGGTCATTCACGCGTATTGTGGTATCTTTGCTACCACTCGCAATTGCGCTGCCATTCCATGAAATGGCACCAACGCGATCTGTGTGCTGGTGCAGACGTCGCGTGATGCACTGCATTTCTACATCCCAAATTTCCAGTGAGCCATCGTTCGTGCCCAAGCCCAAAAAGTTACCGTCCTCGCTCCAGCTGACACCACAAAAAAAGCCATCAAAGGGGCGTTGGCAAGGGAGCCGAGTGATATTGTACGTCTTGGCGTCCCACAGATATACCGCCCCTTGCAAGCCAACCGCAAGAACATCCTTCGCAGACCAGTCGATAAGCTGAAGGTAGAAGTCATCTATCATGTCAGCAGCGTCAAGAATACGCTCAGGAGCCCGTGCAACGACACGAAATGTCTTTGAACGAAAGTTTCTTGCTCGATTTTCCTCAAATATAACACCTAACGAGTTACGATAGCGCTCCTGCTCAGATTCAGGTGTTTTGAGTTGACAAAGCACTTGACTGTGAATGCCTAACACCGTCGACTGCGTGTTTGGAAAGAGCGTCCGGGCAAGTTTGTTTGTGTACGGCTCTGTCGCCAGCATAGTTGAGTCAGAGGGGCTACAGTCCAAGGAGTAGTTTCTCGTTTTGCCAATACTTCCAGCGCCTTCCGTGCCTCCAACAGCAGCACTTCCGCCGCTCACATCGAAGCCGATACCCGTGCCGCGGCCAGGGGACGTCATCAACGAGACAGAGCCGCCTCGTCGGTCGGGGCTCGCCTGAATGGGAAAGGTGTTCTCGTTTGTGGTGAGGAAAAAGTGCGACATAACGTTGTCCTGTGAGCGGCGGTCGGCAATGAAGCGGTCTGGGGTGGAAAGAGGAGTGTGCATCACTGGCGACGCCGGTTCCGTGTGCCGCCATGGTGAGGGCTGCAATGAGCTGCCGAAGGAGAGCTCCATGCGAAACTCGTGACAGTGGATGTACACACACACACGCAAAAAAAAAAAAAAGTAGAACCACACAGCAATAAATTCGTGTGACTCTGCAGCTTAGCCAAAAACGCGGTCGACAGCCTCACCCAGTTCTCACCCTTCTCAGTGTGGCTTCCACTGCCCTTTTGTATTGGATTCCCTTCCTCTGTCCACCCCCCTCCTCGCCTGCGTTGTTGCTTCCGTTTGTCTTCCCACCGACACCTCTTTCTTGTCGATGTGCCTTGATTCCCTTCGGCTGGACCTCCGTGCCAAACCCGTTCGGTGAGCGCAGCAGCCCTGACGGCCTCTCGCTTATGCGTACCTGTGTGTGTGTGTGTGTGTGGAGAAGATTTTGTGGGGGTGGGGGGTGTAGCTTAAAAGCCAAACCGGTGCAAGCAAAGCAAATACTTGCCTGCGTCCTGCAACAAAAAAGCCAAAAGAAGAGAAATGTAGAAAAAAAACAGGAGAAGTAACAAAGTTCCAAAGCGAAAAGAACAATAAGGCACGCCGTTGCACGCGTGCTTAAATGCAGGGAACTGATGTCACGCCGCGGAGGGTCGTTCGGCCCGTCACTTCCCAACAAACTCCTGCGACAGAGTTGCGGGCAGTGGCAGCGTGCCTCCGTGCACGGATCATGTGGCCCTCATCCGGTAATATGGTACAAGGAACTGTGGAAATGGTACTCGTGGGAGTGCGCGTTTAGAAATTTACGCGCTCTCCACTTCATCCGCGTTACCACCTCCACCGTCTGCAAAAAGTCAACAAGCGGCAGAAGTGCATGTCGTTCAAAATAAAATCCAAGCGATAAGAAGTGTGTCTGTTGTGTGTCACGCCCCGCCTCGCTTGGCTGGGCGCCATCGCAGCGGTACAGCAGGGAGGCTGCGGCAGCCACTGAAATTTCCTCAAACGCGTCTGCAATGCCCTGCGCGGCGGCTTGCGACAGTGAGGTGTGGTTACACCAAGCGAGTCTCTTAATGAAGAGCCCCAACGCAGCTTGGGCCATCTCATCTCGGGTTAATTCCTGCGCAGTGAATGTGTCTCCCGCCGCGCTACTTCCCCTCTTCCCACCCGCCAATGCGTGGGCAGTCGGTGAAGGAGGAGGCGAACACACCGACAACTCCGGTAAGACCCGGTTTTTCCCTCTCTGAATCTCCCTTTCCATGAGATCGTTTTCGCTTTCAGAGTTCAAAACCTGCATCGCCGCAAGAAACTGCAAGAGACAAAAACAGCGGAAGTGAAGAGGATGCGTGGCGGCATCCATGAGCGCAGAACAGAGTGTGCGTTGATGCACGGCGTCCAGGATAAGCGAGGCGTAGCGATCAGCATATTTTGTGAGTAATTCGCGTTTCTGACGGGGAACATCGAATACATCAAGTATGTATCTACAATTTTCATAAATAAGTGGAATGGCTGCGGTGCGCAGGGTTGAACTAACGGCTCTGCATACCCGTAACCCATCCAATGTGGTGTACTGCAGCACAAGACCCCAGGGGATATCTGCTAAAGAGACACTGCAATTGCTCCGTCTTTTGGGCACCGTCGCTCTGGGGAGCGCCTCTAGTACTGTGAACGGGCAGCAGGAAGAAGAGGAGGATAAGGAAGGAGCAGAATAAGCATCTACGAGAGTCATCTCCCTCCCACTCCCCGCTCCATCTAGCTGCTTCCCTCCCCGCTTTGTGTTAACGTGGCCATGAGCGTTGTCGCTTCTCATAATTGCGTCCGCATTTTCAGCTGCAGGAAGGGCAAGCCAGTCTGCCACTTTGGGAACCTTTGGACGCCTAGGCGAGGCACGTTGCCACACAGCCGCAACGTGGGTCAACGGGGAGCGTTGACCAATCTGGGAAATCCGTTTCACCCGCTGCATGTAACACGTCCTGCAGTATTCATTGCTTGAGGACGGGACAAGGTGTTGACACGCCTTGCGAGCGTACGCTGGTGGGGATGTATTGCCACCGTGGACTAATGAGGATGCCAGGCTGCGCAGCTGCCGCGCAGGCGTTGTTGAGGGCCGCTCTACCGCATGCTTCTCTTCTATTTTGTGCATCTCTTTGGTAGTTTGACAGGTGCGACACAACTGGGGGTTTCCCCATGATGCACAGAAACTGTGACACGTCTCACCGCGCCCGTGATACCGTTCACCACGCTGTGACCTCCACTGCTGTGGGTCGGCGTAGTAATACGGCAACATTAACTTCTGCACCTCGTTTCCCTTCCCAGGGTTTTGATGACGCCACAAAAGGGTCTTTTTTTCCGCCAGCCTCGTTGCACTTTGAAGGTGTTCCTGGCAGTTGGGTGTAAATACACTGTGCTGCCCCCGTACACGTTGGCACCGGCCGCAGCGGTGTGGATGAAGCCACGACTCAAGAAACACACACTGCGACGCCGCTGACCACTTCCCCCTTGCCGTATCAAGTGCGCTGTGCATGGAAGGCGAGTATGTTACTTCTCCGCCACGTCTGGGCGTAAATGCCGCCTTTGTGGGTGATACCAATAACGGTGGGTCTGCAAATATGATCCGTCTTTTCCTTTTGCTCGTTTTCTCCTCCTTCGTGCCGAGGTCTGAGGCAGGGCTGGGACTGAGGAGGAATACCAGGCGTTGGCGGGTGCCGTGTGGAAGGTCCCCCACAATCTCTGCCAACTCTTGTCGCAGAGCGAGCACCACGCCATGCAGGCTGAGCTGCAGCTCCGCGTCGCTCAAGTGCAGCTGCCGCCTGGCCGCCTCAACCACGTGCTTTACCGTCACTCCACCTAGGCCCCCACAGCCTCCCCCGCCAGTAAGCGGGAGCGTCAGAGTCACGGCCTCCTGCCGCTCGGCATCCGAAAGGTTCAGGTCGTTTGGGGGGTGCTCCAGGTAGAGGATTCGCACCCACCCCGTCGCCGTGGGTGCGGCGAAATCGCATCTTTCCTCTTCGGTATCCTCTTCTCTACGCATATACGCTGCGCGGCTCACGTATCCCTCAGCAAGCAGGGACAGAGGGCAAGAGATTTCCCCACCCCCGACAGGACAGAGAGTGTGTGTGCGAGAGAGAAAGAGATTTAAGAAAAGAGCGGCAAAAAGGGGCATGTTCGTGTTGTAGGCATGTAATGCATGACAGTGGGCATAGCCACACAGGGGGAAACGAAGCAGTGCAACCTCAGTAGAGGCAGATAAAACTAACGCGAGGTTCCACCAACCATGTCAACTGAAATACATTACTAGCATAGATACTACAAAATCGCCACTATGGCGCGCTGTCAGCAGCTTCCCCATCGCACTCCATCTCATATATATATATTCTTTATCCTTTGTGCAGGCACCCTCCAGTGATCCCCCGCTTCTCCTTTGATCACACTCACGGTGCATCCTCAGGCAAAGGCTGAGAAAATAAAAAGAACCAAACATACGGGGTTATACTCACAATACATCAAAAAGAATAATAAAAATGGAAAAAAAAACTCAACGCTAAGAATCTCGTTGTCCTTCATTCTTTGATGATGACTTTTACGACATGGCAACAGATTGCAAATATATATGTGTTTGGCTGTGCACCTCCATCTTGGAAGTACGCACACGTAAGCCCTCCATCAACACCCTCCTCACTTATTCACATGAGGCAGAGGACGCCGGGCGCAAAAGGGTGGCAGTGAGAAAATAATGGAAGAAAGGGAAGAATAAATAAAAGTAATGGCGTAAAACAAGGCGCACCGCCGCAAGCATACAACAATAATAAAATACCAATAAAAAACAAACAAACTCAGAAGAAGATAGGGACAGTCACATTCACGGCGGAGTGTGGCGACAGTGAGACCGGCAAAAGCCAAAGAAAGAAGGGTAGACTCACCTGACGCTGTCCCCAAAAAAACATCCTATTCACTCCATTGGTAACAAACATAATTCATATATATATATATATATATAAGCAGACAGGCACTTACGCCTACGCAGAAAATAACAAAAACACGCGCAAGTTCCCCACACGAAACATCTCCTAGTGGATGTTTCTCATTTTGTCTGCACGTCTTATTCACGGCTTGCGCAGTGCAAACTGTAGGCATGCATTTGCACCACTGCAGCTTGACGGACGCAGACCAAATGCGATGAGCACAGAGAGAGAGAGAGAGAGAGAAATCAAAAAAAACTAAAAAAAAGTCACATACATGTATTTATGTATACGTGTATACTCATACAAATATAAATAAATAAATAAATATATATATATAGTACCTATAAGCAAAAAAATATGATAATGAAATAAGTGCGTAGCATAGCCAAGGAAACACGTTTTCCTTTTTTTTTTGTTTGTTCTGTCGTGTTGTGTTTCTTCCTTTTTGTCGTTGCTACGGCCTACTTCGCCCGACAAGTGTAGGGATAGATTTAATTTTTCGCCCTTTTCCCGTCACCTTTCCGCATATATATATAATATTTCCTCCTCTTTTATCGCTTTCGTTTTTGTTACGTTTTCCATTACTACATATTTGTCCCACAACTTCCAAGCCACAGCTTCATTTTTGCGTACCGAGAGCACCCCGTCGTACATTCCTGACCCCGTCATACCCGTGGAGTCCCTTCATCGCATCAACAACCATCTGGAAGCACCCCGTCACGTCGACTTCATACGACGACCTTTCTTGTATCATCTGGCAGAGCACAGCAAGGAAGGTTTCACACATCGTCTGTGACATTTTCTTTTCATCAAAACATACGAAGACACGCTCCCCTTTTTCAAGGCACTTGCGTAAGTAGTCCAAAAGCGCCATGTAGCCTCCACACTCGTCGTACCGCGATTCCGCCACGATAAAGTAGCTGTGCAAAAATCGACATGCCGCGCGGCGCAGAATGGGCGGCCGCGCCCGCAATGCATGCGACATGCCTCCCCTCTCGTCTGTGATAGTTGGCAGAGACGTCTGCAGCGTGCGCCTTATGTTCTCTGGTAGGTCTTCTACGTAGTCTGCCACGTGCCGCCCAACGTACTCCATCTCCTCAGCGGGGAGCTCGCCAATGGGGAGCCACTCCCCAAAGCGCGGCAACACCACATGACGAATGTCAAGAATCTCCAAAATGCAAAAACTGAATAAGTGGATGCTCTTCGCTGCAGTGAAGATGGGGACCTCCGGGCATATCTGGCGGGGGCAGATGTTGTTCCACACCACCACAACCGATGAGACGCTCTGCAGCAAGTGATTCCACTCATCCACAAGGACAGGGAAGTCGTCAAAAACTAACTCCAGGCGGGGGCAAGTTTGCAGTGCCGCTGGGAGGTGCGCCAACGGATTGCCACTCAGCCAGACATGCCTCAGGCAGCGGCCAGAAAAAACAGATCTCTCTGATGCATCTGTGCCAACATACCGAATGCAGTTGTTGCAAAGGGATAGGCGTTCCAACATGTTTGCCTTCAGAATATCCACTGGCACGTCCGGGATGCGGTTATTTGAGAGGTCAACTTTGCGCAAAAAGGGGGCGGCGAGAACTTCAACCGGGAACTTGCTAAGAGAGTTATTCGTGATACTCACCTCGCGCAGCATTCGTAAACGCGAAAAGTCAGCGCTACCAATGGCGCAAAAGCCATTGTGAGATAGTTGCATTTTCGTCATGTCGCTTGCATCATTAATAAAGGAGGGAAACTCTTTTAGGGGCATACCGTGAAGTTTTAACTGCCCCCTTTCCAGCGTGCCCAACATTGTGGAGACAACGTGCAGCGCATCCGCCTCATTTATGGAGGGATGTTTTGGGTTCAGAGAGTCTGTGAGTAGCGTGAAATGTGAATCACCAGAGTCGGGGTTGCCGGTATTGTCACTATCCATCGGGCTGGCATCCCACGCGTGGAGCTTACGGTGCAGCTTGCGAATCGTCCGCATCCCGTGAAGGCAGTCCTCTACCCCTCTGCCTCGCACCACCGTATCCACCGCACACGCGTAGGGCCCATTTGGAGACACATTCAAGGCACTCTCAGATGTCCTATAGCACGGGGATTGCTCCTTGGAGTTATCCATGCAAAAAAACGGGTGGTGCACCGCATCCCTCAGGAGCATGCGCTTGGAGAGATCCTTCTCCAGCATCTTTGAAAGAAGGTCCCGCAGCTCCGGATCGCAATCGGGTGGAATAGTTAAGGGCTCATCACTCAAAAGAGTTTCCCGAAGTTCATGAAGGCTATCTGTGGAGACTGGGAGGGTGCCAAACATCATTTGGTACACTGTCAGAGCAAAGGCCCAGCTATCCACCACGTCGCCTGGTACACGCGCCCCGGTGATCAGCTCTGGACACGAGTAGGCAGGAGTACCGTCGGTGGTGGTGTTCTTCATCTGACTGCTGCACGTTCCAAAGTCGGCAATTTTCACGACATCGTTGTCGTCTACAAGACAGTTGGCGGGTTTAATGTCGCGGTGAAACAAATACTGATTGTGAAAGTGCAACAGTCCAGCCATAATGTCCCGACTATACTTGCGCACCTTTTCTAAAGGGAGGGGTGGGTTGCCGAGGGTGTGTACGGGCCCCTTTGCACAATACTCCATAACGAGGTACGCCTTTTTTGCCTCCGTGTCACCAATCACCTCCTTGAGTTTCACTATGTTGGGATGGGACACAAACTTCATCACGGCAATTTCACGCAACCAATCATCGTCGCTGGTCAACTTTCCCTGCAGAACTCGTCGCGCCCTATTTACGCTGTTGTAACGCAGAATCTTCAGCGCATACAGGGTGTTATCCCCGCAGTGCTGCACAAGGTTCACCTTGGCGTATGATCCCTTACCGAGCTGCCGAATCACCACGTAGCCATTGATGACTTTATTGCCCTTACTGTTGCGGCGTTTACTTACAAGCGTCGACCCTGTTGCATCACTGCAAAGGCAACGCCGGAACGGCCTGATCTCATGCTCGTGCACGGCACTTCCATGAGTTTGGTGGCAGGCACTACAGATTACGGCATTACACTCTTCACAGTGGTATACCAGCTCCACATCGTTGATCACCCGCGCACATACATCACATGGATCGTAGAAGACACTACAGGTTCCCTCGTCTATCGTCCCCACGCTGGTGCTGAACGTCCCGCTACCAAAGGAATGCATTCCATAAATGGGAATCAGCGGATGAAGCGGGTTATGTTTACAGTTTCCACCAGAGAGGCATTCGTCGCAGACATAAAAAGTCTCACAGTACTGACACTCGTACGTCACTGCAGAGGAGTGACAGCAGAAACACTCCTGTGGTTTGTTGTAGAAGACGGCAAAATTGGGGGCCTCGTTATCGCCGCTGCTGAGCGCTTCACCAGACCCCCTGCGACCTCCTTCGTTATTGTTAATGGACTTCACGTCAAATTCATCGTCGGTGGTCACAGTTAGGATCTTGAGTTCACCAAAGTCTTCACTCCAGTTGGAGTCGCGGCTCTGGGCACTATTTTCCTTCGCTCGGCAGTTATCGCCGCCTCCGCTCGCTCCGGCCAATACATTGCCAGCCACAGCAGTTTTATTATACCGCCCACTGCTGCTGCTCTGAAGAGAGTTCTTGCTGAGCCCCTTGTTGCTGTGAGTAGGCAGGGATACTGCGTCTTTTGCGGGCACGTGCAGAGACGCGGGTAACTCCGTCACTGCAGCTGAGGCCGCACAACCCATTCTTGCTGCAATCGACTCCCTCTCTTCTATTGTTCACTCGTAACTAAGGGCGTTGCAGCCAAGGAGTCCACCCTTTTTACCCCTCCCCCTTTTTTTTTCTTCCTTTCGTTACGTATTCCTTCTCTTTCTATCTCCTTCTGTGTCTGCCTGTAATGCCGTACTCGCAGCCGGAGCCGCTGCGTTTAGCACTGTATACGTATAGTATATAATGGTAATGCGTACGGGCGGGTGTGAGTCTAGGTGTGGATGTGGAACGCACACGCACACACACGCCGACAGACGTCCACCACAAATACTACAAGGCAGCGTCTGCGCCATCACCCCAACACAGAAACAACGCACAAACGTGAAGGGAAGGCAACAGGAAAGCCATTCAGTGGTTGCAGAAACGAATGGCGGCACATAAAGGAAGAAAGCAGATGCATATACGCCCGAACAGGGTACACACAGAGCAACGCCGCATCACCGACTGCCCACGCCATCGTGCCAGACGTCCGCACACGATAGACAGAGAAAAAAAGGGAACGCGTCGGCCAAGTAACACCTTTAAAAAAAAAAAACAGGTAGAATGACATTCACTCCCCACCCACCCCTCCCTCTTTTCTTCCTCATTGGCTCCTACGTCGGCGACAGCACCTTCTTCAACTCCTTCTCTTCCCACCAGCTCGGAATGGTGATGGAAACTGGCAGGGCACCCTTCAGCTGCAGGCCAGGGGCCGTTCTCGTCACAGCGTCCACGTAGCGCAGCCGCAACAAGCCAAGACCAACGTCCCCGCATACGGTAAGCACCTCACCAACTTTTTGACCACCAATCAACAACGCCTCGCCCTTTTCCACCGCCCGCCGCTCGCCGCCGGTTCCGTCGTCAGAGGATGATGGTAGTTGCAGGGGGACGGTGCGTTTTCGTGTCACCAATGTGACGTGGGTGCGGTGGGTGAGCTCCTGGCCCAGATAGCACCCCTTGCGGAAGCTGACGCCCCGAAGGAAGTCCGTGTTGCACTCAAATGGGAGTGACTTAGAGGGCCTAAAGACGTCCGGCCCCTCACCAACGCCTGAGATGTACAAAAGCGTCTCGTACTGCGACACCGGATCGGTTATGGAGGGCGCGGCCGCCGCAGGGAAAATGCGTTTCTGCAAAGGTGCGGGAAACGCAAAGCTGCGGGGATCCGTGAACGTGTCGCATTTATGCGCGAGCGACGATGCCTCTTCCTCTTCCTCTTCCCCCTTCTTCCCTGCATGAAATCCTCTATCCCCCCACGGTGAGGCGGCCACCACCACCAACTCCTTTCCGGCGTTGTAAATCTGCACCCGTTTGCGCATGCGCATCTCCAACAGGTGATCGTGCAGGGCATCTGCCACATCGTGATGGACATCCACCAGAATACGTGCCTCTCCCTCACTAGCCCGTGCGAGTTGGTAAAGGTAAGCGTCACACATTACTCGGCCAGTGTGGTGCAAGAAGCATCCCCATATACTTTTGCCCGGCTGCAGCAAACGCAAATCGTTTGTGAAGAGTCCCTGGAGAAATTCATGCGCCGCCACACCAGAGACGCAGATAAGCGAGCGCGATGGTAAGAGACAGCTAAAACCCATGCACGCGGCCGCTGTTGCTGCTGCTCCTAGAAGTGGATCCGGCGCATATGTACATCATAGCGATTGACGCAAACGCCCCACCAGCAAAAAACAAAAAAGAACGAAGGTCAAAAGCAAGTAGAAGGAGAGAGAAAAAAGCCACACGTAAACGCATATATATATGCGCACACACATGGGAGAAGCAAAAAAAGGAAAAAAACGCACAACAACGCCACCGTTGAATCATGCACGGCAACAGCGCGGGCAGTCGCAGGAGAAGCCGTAATGGGACAAGAGGTACTCTTGTCGCTCCGCCCTGGACGCATGTGCACTCACGTCAATGTAGGAGGAGCGTATCTCTTCCCCCTGCTCAATGTCTCGCAGCGCCACCACCACCGCTCGCACCCCTCCGTGCGTTGGAACAAACCGCACGGAGGGCGCGCAGCTGTGGTTGATCTTCGTCGCGGCATCGTACAGGGCGACGCCCGTGGCATGTGCGGCGGTTGGCTCCACGACGCGAAACAACTCCCGAAGGATACCCATTTTTCGACCTAACTGCGTTGACAACAGTTCTCCGCCGTCGCCGTTCCGCCGGCATTTCGCCTGCAGCGTCGGAAGCTGCTGGCAGAGGAGGCTGTACAGAGGGGAGACAACCACAAACATGTGCACGTTGGCATCTGTCAACCAAAAACACCGCAAATACAACTGCAGAGGCAGCCACTGGAAAGGCTCTGGCACCCCCACCACCCCCGGCGTTTCGAGGCAGCAGAAATCCAGCCAGCGAGATACGCACTTCCAAGAGAAACGCAGGAACGCACGCTGTTGTTCTGTCAGTGGGCGTGCAGCACCTTCGGCAAACCTCAGCACAAATTCATGTACCTTCGCAGCAAACCTACTCTGAAGCTGCTTTGCAGAAACTGATGCATCCTGCAACGCGTCATTTAGGCATTGAGCGAGGAGCGACAAAATAAGACGAAGTCTCTCATTAAAACTATCAGCCAAGTACTCAAGTGTCTCCAGGACGTGAGATCTGCTAGACCACGCTGCATCCACCGTCACCACATCCAGCGTTGCAGCAAGGCACATAATAGTAATAGCAGTTGGCTTCTGCAGGTTGTGGGGCGGCAACGTCTTGATTGTCGCTGGAGCGCCGGCTGCCCCTGACACAACCGTCGTTGCAAATAACAGGAACCTCCCGCCCCGCTCATGCAAGAAGCGCTGCTTGCACCTCTGTGAGCAAAATCTCGCCCCACGCAGCGGCTCCCTTCCTGGCGACAACTTTTCCGTATTGTCATCGTCACCTCCCCCACCAACATCATCATCTGACGCCCCGCAACAAAAAAAATCGGAGGCGGAGAACTCCCCCATTATTTCTTGCAGGGCATGCGGGGAAGAAATAACCTCAGCCATCTCTGCCTCCTTAAATTCCACGTGGTTTGTATCCCCCACAACATGAGTCAAACAAGTGGTGGGAAGGGCGTCGCAATCATTTTCCATGCAGTGCTGTCTTCGCACCATCGCCTGGAAAAGACGCGCCAGGCGTTCACACTCTGCCCCGAGTGTTGTCAGGATCATCCCACAGCCCCTGCAGCACTGCACACCTTCTGGCCCATTCTGAGAGGCGATTGACTGGGAGAAGACAAGAGGAATTTCCTCCATCACAACATCACCGGTGCCAAACGACTTCAAAGCAAACGTGCCGACGCCGTGGCTCTCACCCATCTCACGTATCTCAACATGCCTGACCATGTCTACGCCAACCACCTTCCTCCCTAACAACTATGTGCCGCCGTGCAATGCCAACGCATGTGGGTAAAAGAGGAGCAGAAAGGGTGTAGGGTAAAGACATCCTTCCAGAAAAAAAAAAATCACCAAAATTTAATCTCCTCTTCCTCCCAGTATTTACCTACTTATCTCTCTTCTTCATCAAACACACACGCACACGTTTAAACAGCGACGACACGGCTCTCCCTCACACTGCCCTCGTCTCAAATGTCGCTAGTGGAGAGGCGGTTCACAACCGCAACCTCAAGTGTCGCCGCTTCGCTGCTCCCAACGCCGTAAAAGTCCCGCACAGCTGCCTCGTCGCAGTACGTCTCCAGCGACGAAAGCCCGTGCTGCTTCCCCTGAACAGCCTCAAGCACGGTCGCAATGGCCTTGTCCGCCGGGGCGTATAGAACAACCACTACCGCCCTGGTCGTCTCGCAACAGGTAAGACGCCTCATCACACTGTGGAGGTTTCGTGTGTGGGAGAGCGCGGCGAAGATGTCGCGGTCTGTCGGTGCCGCAGCTGCCTCACGGTCGCCTGGGCCAGTAACGAGCGGTGCAGCGCTAATGCGGTGCAGCGCCACGACCAGGTGCAGCCGCGACACAACGTACGCTGAGTCAATGCAGGCGGCACGGGTGGCGCGCGTTTT